ATTACCTGGTTGGTTCGGGATACCTTCAAGGTTTGGGTCATAGAAACCTAGTCAATGTAATTATACATAATCACTTACAGAAGTAGTTGTTTTTTTTTTTCTTTTCCACATCTATATACATATATTCATTTGTTTGTTTATCTGCCTATCTATATTTTGTTTTTAAATTGAAATCAGTTATCAGGATTTAAAAGCACTGAAATGATTTACTGTATTAATCATTTTAATTTTTAATATCAATCTGGTCAATTATGGAATGCTTTTGTAGTGTTAGGAGAATTTGGGATGTAAAAAAAAAACAAAAAAATTTTGTCATTCAAATATGCATTTATAAAAACTCAGAATTTTTGTTTTAATTTCTGAGATGGGAGTTATTATTTGTTATTTACATTTGAACTATTATCCTCATCTTTTTTTATCACAAAAGATACAATAGCTGAAATATTGTCATAATAACAAAGATGAGGATACTAGTCTGATTGCAAATAAAACGTTAGCATTTACTAATCTTTTATTTATTTAATTTTGGGGCTTTTTTCTTAGAATATTGTTAAAATTTTTATAAACTAAATTTTTTTTTTTTTTTTTTTTTTGCTGCATTTCTTAAACAATTTTCTTTTTAATGCAAGTTCAGATAAATAAACAAAAAAATTTTAATAATTTAATTCATTTTTTGAATTCTTACACTCATCTGCTGTTTTTTTTTTTTTTCTTTAAAATTTTAATCTTTTACAAAACAATATCAAGAGATTAAATTTTCCACATTTATAGAAATATTTGCTTACATATCCCTCCACTCCCACTTCTCTGATTTCTTTTGCTTTGTATTTAAAAATTTTATTTAGGTGTAAAAATCTTTTATACAAATTTGGAAACAGTAATTGTTTTGGCCTGATTAATTCTCAGACTAATCTATTCTTTAAAATTGTGAATAACCATTTCAAGAGATATGTTTAGTGATTAATTGCTTTTCTTCAAATTTTATCCCTTTTTGGTATGGATTCTTTTAATTTCATCAGTTTTAAGCATTTTTAAAAAAAGTATTTTTACACGTAAGAGATTTATTAATTATCAACATCAGTAACTCAATTGAATATATAAATAAGGTGCAGGGGGTGCTGAAAACTTCTTGAACATGTAACCCATTTCCAAAAATAAAATGAATCAATGTATTCATTTTTTTTTTTTTTCCTCAAGAGCTTCTTGGTTGACTGAAAACTTTTTAGCACCTTCTTGTGTGTGTATATATATATATATATATATATATATATATGTGTGTGTGTGTGTGTACATATATGATTTTCAGCAATATATAACCTATTTTTGTTAACTTTTATTTTTGATGTGGTTCAGGTAATTTTTTTTTTCTTCGAGTGAAAAAATATGAAAATTTAATTCTAAGGATTTTATTTAAAAGCTAATACCTAGTTTGATTAATTTTTTTTTTGGCTTTATAAATTTATTCATTTAAAAAAACAAGATAAAATGCTCTTAAACAAAAAAACAAAAGAAAAAAAAAAACAGTGCTCCGCAATACTTCAAAAGGATTTTAATGGAATCATTTCAGAGTGTTTAAATAATCCAAGATACAAGTTTGTTGTTTTTTTTTGTTGTTTTTTTTGTTTAAGGGGGGGGGGACCACAAATCATTATATAAATTGTAGATTGGTTTTTGGTATTTAATCAAGATAATAATTACATATGAGGGTCTTGAAAATTCTTTTGCCCAAACTGTTTTCCAAAATTTGACCAAATTGTTAACTTTTAAACGATTCTTGGTCTGGCTGACAATTTTTTAGTCCCTGCTTGTCATCTTTGAAAAGATTTCTAAAAAGTGTTGACTATATTTTATTTAAATTTTTCTCTTATATAAATCCGTTTTGGGTATGTTTAATTAAAGAAAAGAATTAAAATTTGAAGTTGAGCTTAAATGATCTTCAAGACTATCAGGACATTAAAATGTTTTAACAATTTTTCTTGTGTTAAAATGATTTTCAAAGCTTTTCTTTTTGCGTGAGAACAGATGTTTTAATTATAAGATTTCATTCACACCTTTTTTTTTATTTTTATTGTCTATTATTGTGTTGTCCTTGTCTTCATCTTAATTACAATATCAGTTTCATTAATTTTTGTTTATTTTTTCTGTATATTTCTATATATTAAAAAGACTTTCCTACTCCCTTTTTAAAAATAGGACATTTCATGTTTAATGTTTTGTTTTCCTTGCTGTTTTTCAAAAGCATTTTCAAACTATACTCAACAATTATCTATCATACATATCCTTGTAATCTACAGTCCTTATATCCAAGCAATTAATTCATTGACTCTACCTTCAGTGTCTCTTGGTCCTTGTATTGGATCAACAACAGCAGAAAAAGAAAATTTAATATTTAGTGTTCAATCTTTTGTTTTTCCCTAACTACTTTTGCAAACACATTTTAATTTGTTTATGGAAGAATTTTTTGAGGTGACATTTTAATCCTTCTTTGTAATCTGCGTATATAACTTATTAAATTCAAAGTTATTTATAATATACACAGTTAATTATGCTTTTAATGTTTAAAAATTGTAACTAATATTTGATCCACCATTTCATTTTAATATGTTTGATATTTTGAAAATTTGATATCAGCATGTAAAAATATTTGCTAACAAAATGTCTGTTTCTTGTAGAAAGCATTAAACTAGATCTTTTGCAAAAATTGACTGCTTCTGATGTTTATCCGTTTAAAGAATTAATCCTTCCTGTAAAATATTTTTTTTTATTTTATGGAAGCATAGCAAAACATAACAGTGACAATAAGTTTTTAATTTTTTTTTTTTTTTTTTTTGTCTTATCCAAAGGATGTCGTTAATTGGCCCTCAGTAAATGCTTGAACAGGTTTGATGCAAGGGTCTTGTGTGCCCCCCCCCCCCACCAAATCTATGATGCATGACTCCCCTTTCTACTACATTTCAATTTTCATAAAGTAGTATTCATATGAAATATAAATTTTATTGTCACCTAATTATGTACAATAATGGATCATATCAAATATAGGTGAACAATTCAGTTAGAAAAATTGAAAATAAATACACTGTATCTAAATACAAATTAGAGACATGTCATAATAGATCATTCCATCTTAAATAAATTGATGTTTTGTGGCAATTCTTAACATCAACTTGAGATTTTTCTTGTTAAAAAGTTGAATAATTTTAGCACATTCATTGTTATGTATAAAAAAATAGTAAATTTTATATAGTGCTTTTTTTATTTATATAGTGCTTTTTTTTTATTTATATAGTTTTTTCATAACCTAGCAGGAGCAAAACAAATTCACGGATTTGGAAAAAAACAACCCCCAAAAAACAGAATGATAATCAAAATTTGAAAATTTGTCATCTTTTAATAGTCAGCTGTCCTTAGTTTAATTTGTAACGTTTATAAATGTAGGGAGAAAAAAAGTAAATGTTGATAAGATAGTGAGGGTCACAAAGCACTGCCTGAAGCCCCCAATCAGGCTTGACCCCCTACCCTCCAATCAGGGGGTAGTAGGCACTGGGCCTGCATTTGAACAGTTATTTTTGTTATTGCGTGTGTGAAATGTGTTTGATCACCTTAGTTTATATGCTTTTCCTTCATTGAATCGCAATAGTCTTAATCTCTCTCTTTCTCTTTCTCTTGTATATCTTTTACTTACTTAGGATTTTATGCATAGTATGGGATTTGAGCCTTGTGTTTATGGCCAATCTTTACTTTCCTGATTTCCTTCTCGTTATAATGTGATTGCATTTTTGTAAAATTATTTGCATCTGAGTAGAATAGGTGTTTGTAATATAATAATAATTACAAACACCTATATAAAATAGGTGTTTGTAATACCTATGGAAATGAAATAATTCCTTCCTCAAGAAATTCCTTCCTCAATTTTTGGTATTCTAAATATCTAGCATGCATCTCGGAATAAATTAAAACTTAAATTTTTTTATTTCCATTAAATTTATTTATTTTTTTTCTTTTTTAAACGTTTAATCTTTAAAATCAATTTTTTTTTTTTTTTTTTTAACAATCTTATTTTTTCCTGTTTTTCATTATGACACCTTTTAATTTTCGATAAAATCAAAATATGTATATATGATGAAGGGGAGCATATGATGGGGCTCCTTGTATATCATTGATGGCTTGATCAATCCCTCAACATATCAGTATTTTGTACATTAATAGCATTTATAATAGACTCTGATGATACACACACACACACACACAAACAAAAGTCTATTTAGCTTAATATGAAAATTAGCTAATGTCAAATTTTATGACATATATGATTAATTGAAACTAAAGTGTTCTAAACTTTAAGAACTAAATTAAAACTTTGTTAACAGTTGTTTCCTAAATCTGTTTTCATTTCAGTCAACTTCGGCTTAATAGAGGGTCATTATGACATTGTGTTGACAATAGAAAGTAATCAAGCAAATATCACGGTTATATACACGCACACATTCTCTCTTTTTATATATATATATATATATATATATATATATATATATATACACATATGCACATTAATGAGATTAATAGAAATATATAAAATTTGTCTCTGGGTTTTTGTAGATGAACCCTTTTTGTAATTGTTCAATCCACTCATCAGGTTTCAACAATTTTTATTTCCCTAAAATGAAGATTTGTATCTATAATTTGTCTTTAAATTTTGAAATAATTAAAAATTGTGGATTGATGAGGTGAATTTTAACTAGAAATGAATAAATTCATGGAAAATGGTGAAATTACAAATGTCCACTTTCTGTTTGATGAAAATTCTTTAGAGATTCACTTCTGTCGCCCCCCCCCCCTTTTCTTTTTTTTTTATGCACCTGCTTTTGTAATGCACAAACAAAAATAAAGTGGTTTTAATGAAAAGATGACTAATTTTCTTTTAATTAAATCTCATTATCTACTTTTTTTTTTTCACAACTGCATTCCATTGAATTTTTTTTATTCTTTTCACTCTCCCTGCCATGAATAGAATCCCTCCCTCCCCTCCCTCTTGCGTCTTATCTTCCCCCCCTCCCTCTTGCGTCTTATCTTCCCCCCCCTGCCTCTTGCGTCTTATCTTCCCCCCTGCCTCTTGCGTCTTATCTTCCCCCCCCTCCCTCTTGCGTCTTATCTTCCCCCCCCTCCCTCCCCTCCCCCCCTCTTGCGTCTTATCTTCCCCCCCTCTTGCGTCTTATCTTCCCCCCCCCTCTTGCGTCTTATCCCCCCTCCCTCTTGCGTCTTATCTTCCCCCCTCCCTCTTGCGTCTTATCTTCCCCCCTCCCCTTGCGTCTTATCTTCCCCCCTCCCCTTGCGTCTTATCTTCCCCCCCCCTCCCCTTTGCGTCTTATCTTCCCCCCTCCCCCTTGCGTCTTATCTTTCCCCCCACTTGCGTCTTATCTTGCTCCCTCCCTCCCTCTTGCGTCTTATCTTGCTCCTCCCTCCCTCTTGCATCTTATCTTGCTCCCTCCCTCATTGCTGACTCTTGTTGCTTACTGTCTCGTCCTTGCTCTCTCATCCTCTCATTGCAGTTTCCATTCTCTCTTGCTCATTCATTCTATCTCCCTCTCTCTCTCCCTGCTTACTTAATCACTCTGTTGTCACTCTCTCTCCCTCTTGTCGGATAATTGTTTTATAAACTTCTGGTTCCTACAACAGCTCTAGAATTTACTACTTTTTTTATTGTAATTTTTTCCTTTCTCATCATTTATTCCTTCTTTCTTATCTAAACGGCTGATTAAAGGAAGGAATTTTAAAAAAAAAATATAGTAGTTGCAGTTGAATAATCAGGAATGTCATTTTTCTTTGATTAGAAATCTTTGCTCCACTAACAAAGATTTTCTTAACTTGACCCATTTGCTTTCTTTTGTTGAAACAATGGCTTTTTTTTCCTCTTTTTCTTTTATCGTTTATTGGTCACCAATTTACATGTTAATTTCACTGTCTTCACTTTTAATAGACAATCCTTAAATGAACATAATTTCTCATCACTAGCTAAATTACTAAAACAACTTCATGATTTACTTTTAACACCATTAAAAAAAAAAAAATTCCATGTAAAATTCATTAAATTTATGCATAAGAAAATTGATTCTTCATTTTTTTTTTTCACTTTAGTTACAATGAACCACAAAGGATAGGAAGTTGTGGAGAGCCATAATCGCCCACATCCTGAAGGGGCATGACACATAGAAGAATAGAGTAAACATTTGCTTTAAGATTTTGTGAATAATAGTTTGACCATTTTTATAATGTTTCTGTCTGTTAATAGTTAACTTATTTTATATGCTAATATTTTGTACCTAGATTACCGCCATTGGTTTCTTTATATGTGATTAATATTTTTTGACTGTACGTATGTACTTTTGTCTTTCTGAACACTATATAGAGTTCAAAGTGCCTGCGTTAATTGTTTCTGGTTCAATTTTGAACTGGTTATAAAATTAGTAAAACTAAAATGGTGTTGCAGATTTGGTGCCTAATTACAAATTCCTGTCTAAATCCAATTTCATAAACTTTCTTTGTTTCAAATAATCCATGTCATTCACACTGAAGCTTTTCTTTGAGTTAAAAACTTTTTGATGATGTCTTTGTGATTGTGCAATACTTCTGTTTCATGTGTAACTTTATTTTTCTTGATGCAAAACTTTAACTGTTGCTAAAAATTTTGGAGATTTTTTTTTTTTTCTTTAGTAATTGAATGGAGTAATTGATTATGAAACAGCTAATTGATGCAACCCTAATATATAATCTCAAACACATTTATAGAAATATGTTCCCTTATTTTGGAGATTTTTGCATCCAAAAATTCCAATTTTGATGCAACTTTCTTTATATCAAAATCTATACCACTGATATTCTCTTTTATATAAAAATGTTTCCGTGCTGTCTTTGATTGGACAATATTTCTGTTTAATGTGTAATTTTCTTTTCCTTGTTGACGTTGTTTTGAATATTTTCTGAACACTTTGTTCCAAACAATTCATTTTTATATAGTTTGGTTTCAGAAACATGTGTATTTTGTAGATATTGTCTACTTGTGTATTTCCGCAAATATTTTGTTTTTATTTCTTGGTCATATGATTGTTCTAACCTAATTGACATCTCTCTTCCTTTGCATATGTTTGTCTATAATGATTCAGTTTTGTTTTTGTACAATGATGATAGCCAGTGTTTTATTTCCTAATTTAACTTTTGTATATAAATCCCCTGAACAATGATTAGGCTTGTCAAAAATTTAATTTGCTTTTTCATATCCAAATAAATTTTCACAAAATAAAGTATTTTCTGTTTTTCTTGTTACTTATGATTCATGATATATTATTCAGTCAAAAAAAGAATGTTGGCTAATATTGGTCTTTCATTGCACACGTGTGCGTGCATACACATGTGAAATAGTCATCTCATTGGTTGCTAAATACTTCTAAAATTAAGTATTTTTTTTTTATTCCATGAAATCTTAGGTTTTCTATTTTTTTTTTTCTTTCTTTCTTTCTTTCAATCCTTCTCAGTTGGTCTTTGTATGAAAGAAAAAGTAGAAAATGCCTTTTGAAAGTTTCCAGATGTATCATATGTACAAGAAAAGCTGAAGAATATATTGTCCAGGGCTTGCATCCCCCCACCCACCCACCAAAAAAAACCATGGAGTAACCCAAGTGGCTTGAATTCAAACTTTTAGCTAAAAATAGGGAAATCAGGCGATTATTTTTTTTTTTTTTTTATTAAAAAGTATTGCAAGAAGGAGAAAATAACTTTCTCAAAAAACATTAAACGTAAACAATTGGTACATTCCCTCCCAGCACCTCTTTCTTATAGATGTCAGCCATTTTTGACATATTTAATTCATTGTTTAGTAAAAGTTGTTTTTGTTAATTTTTTTTGTTGCTTAATTATTTGATTTGCTTATGTTCCAACACTCTCTTTGATCTCACTCTCTCTTTCTCTCCCACTCTCTCTCTCTTACACACACATCCTCTCTCCCACTCTCTCTCTCTCTCCTACGCACACATCCTCTCTCCCTCTCTCTCTCTCTCTTACGCACATCCTCTCTCTCTCTCTCTCTCTCTTACGCACACATCCTCTCTCCCTCTCTCTCTCTCTCTCTCTTACGCACATCCTCTCTCCCTCTCTCTCTTACCCACACATCCTCTCTCCCTCTCTCTCTTCACGCCACATCCTCTCTCCCTCTCTCTCTCTCTCTTACGCACACATCCTCTCTCCCTCTCTCTCTCTCTACGCACACCTCCTCTCTCTCTCTCCACACATCCTCTCTCTCTCTCACGCACACATCCTCTCTCTCTCTCTCTACGCACACATCCTCTCTCTCTCTCTTACGCACACATCCTCTCTCTCTCTCTCTTACGCACACATCCTCTCTCCCTCTCTCTCTCTTACGCACACATCCTCTCTCCCACTCTCACTCTCTCTCTCTCTTACGCACACATCCTCTCTCCCACTCTCTCTCGTTTACGCACACACACACACACACTCTCTATTTCTCTCTCTTGCTCTCTCTTTTTATATAGTTTGGTCTCAGAAAAGAGTGTATTTTGCAGATAGTGTGTATTTGTGTATATCCATTAATAGTTTGTTTTTATTTCTTGGTCAGATGATTCTTGTAATGGTCGGGTTTTGATATAAAACTTTATCTACATCTTTCCTCTTCCTTTGTGTGTGTTTGTGCATAATGATTCAGTTTTGTTTTTGTACGATGTCGATTGTCGGTATTTTATTATTTCCTCTTTTCATGTTTGTATATAAATCCCCCCCCCCCGAACACTGATTAGTCTTCCTAACAACACTTTGCGATATTAACGGGTTTGGCAAGGAATAAGGTTTGAGTTTCTGCATAAAAACGACTGCGAAAAGTAAGCCTTCCTTGGAAATTACTTGCAACCTTTTCTTCTTCCTTTTCTTATCCTCCCCCCTCCCCCTCCCAACAAACGTGCATTTCCCACTCCCCTCCTCATTTCAAGTGGCCGAAAAAGGTAATGAACTTATGAGACGAGGAAGCAATTTTCAGTGTATTTGGAGACTGGAGTTCCTGCCACAATCGGCCATCGGTAGCACCAGGAACAATGGCCAGGAAATGAGAAACAGGAATCAGCCGACCACCATTGACTTGTAGCTTGCTCGGTTCTTATCTCTAAGATCTCTGCTGATTCTCAGACAATATTGCCTTTCTCTGCAGAATTTGCTCTTGGTTAATAAGCGCTCTAGCAACATTGCTGTTTCCCTTTTTCTTCCCTTGTTGGTGAATAATCAGGAGAATGGAAGACGGACGCTTTTCTTTTCACTGGAGATTGTGTGTGCACTAGTGTTTTTTATTTTTTATTTTTTTTTAATACGAATTAATAATGCATGTGTCTATATGAGGTGATAATTGTTTGTTGGTATAACAGTGTATGTTTGTGTGTGTGCGTTTGTGAGACACGTCTATACACGCATACAAAATTTTACTCAGGCCATCAAGAATGATGTTTTGCAAACATCCTTATTATTTTGCATCTGAGCTTTTAAATATATTTTTCTCTGGTGATTATTGTTTAACTACTCTTTCATAGAATTGTCTGCTATTGGCATAACAAAGATACTCTCACCTAGTGCTGTTGTTGCAAGAGGCATAACTCTGCCACGGCAAAATGTTACATATTAATAAAAAAAAAAATAACAAATATCCACAGTATATATACAAGAAACAAAAGAAACTTCTTTTTTTTTTTTTTTTATGTTCAATATGAAGTCAGATACAGATATTGTTGGTATGGCAGTGGAATTTGAGCCTTCCCACCAATAACCGATTTTGGTTTTTTTTTCCTCATTACAAAGAGTAGTTCATTAAAAGTTTGGCAAAATGGTGCCTGATATGAAATTACATCTCAATCAGATCTGTTATTGAATATTTCCTAGCAGGAGAAAAAATAGTGCCTGTTCAAATTCCTGCTGGAATTTTTGTAATGCGAAGAATTCTTCACTAGTTCTTCAAAGTTTTGTTGTTGTTTTGGTTATGCATGGAAAGATGAATGAAAACATTTACTCTAATGAATTGAATAAAGTGTTTAGTTGAAAATTTCTTAAAGCTTACTGACTACACTCAACCCCGGACAAATGCTGGAGAGTAAAACTGCTGGAATGTAAGTGAAATGCAGTAGATAAATTTGTTCAGAAACCATCAATGGTTGTACTAGCACAAAGTCATAAGTCATCGTGACCGAGGGTTTGAATATACTGGCCTTGTTCAGTTATAGATCATGTAAGGTCATGTGCTCTCTCCCTGAAACTTTACTGTCTGCTTAACATGGTTGCTTTATAAACCTTGATTTTTGTGGGTGCTGGAAAAAACAGATGTGCCTGAGCAGACATCTGCAACAAGGATTAGCCAAAAGCACCAGGATATGGATATACTTGGAAAAATATATAAAAACTTAGTTTATATGTACATATATTAATGTGTGTGATATATAAATGCACATATAAATTCATATTTGACTGTTGTAGATGTCACCTTCAAGTGACTTGAAATTGGTCTGGCTAAGAAATGTAATTTGCTAAGTTTTGTTACTCCTTACCATTGATGAATGATGGCTTAAACAATTTCAAATCAAGATCCTTTGTCATGTGTATTAAC